CATTTCCCTCTATTAATTATGGTCCACCGCTATCATTTTTTGTTTTTGATCAAGGTATAAAAGGGTCACGAGATATTAGGAAACGCGCGTGCTCGAGTCAACGTTCGCGTTCATTACGGAATCACAAGAACGTAAAAAAGATTTAATAACTACTGAATGACTGAGTACAGTTTTCCTTCTTAGTTTGTCTTTTCTCTCGTTGTCTGTTTACTTGCCATGTGGATCTTTTCCTGTAATTAAGGTACCAAAGCTGGTTTTCCTCACCTAAACTCGGTATCCTCAACTTCTTGTAAATATGATTCCAAATCTTGAAATGGTCTGGTGAGTTTTTTGCCAAGTGGATGGCCAGAGAGATCCTGAAAGTAACATGAGAAAAACAAGGAATACTATTAACATTTAGAACAAGCAACACGTAAACGCAGTTTTAAGAAAAACTTCACGACTTATATCCATCGATACAAAAGTTGAAACACCTGACAAATGTGTGAGACAATTTCAATGATATACAGTGGCCTTCAACTTGTTTCCGAGCGCATGGTTACATTCTTAATAGTACTTGTCTTTCAAGTTGATTTTTCGTTTGTTGTTGATAATTTGATAACAAAGACAAAACTTTGATCTCCTGTAGCCGATCTCAGCAACGATATTGACTTTTTAGCCAATCATTTGCAAGAACAAATCCTGACACTATTACAGATTCTTGGCGACTTTCCCGCGCTTTTAAAGAGTCTTCTGTTCTTCAGCACTTGTCACCGGGTTACATATTTTCCAGGTTCTGTGATTACTTTTATATTTATTTAGTGTTGCTAAGGTTTTACTACAGACATGAGGATTTACTGTTCATTTTTACCTCGTTAATTCCAAGATAGTGTGAGGGCAAAGTCGCTCTAAAATCCGTCAAAGTTCCTAGAGAAGATGTATCAAGAAAAATCAAGATCCGCTACTTGCTACAAACGTATTAAAACTCTAATTTCAGAAGAACTGCTTATCAGTTATCTCCGCTACTAAAAATATGAGAAGCTAGTTAAACGAATTCAGGAAAGGAAGTAGCAAGATGAAGTTACTGAGACTGTCAGTTTTGAGGTGACTTACGTTCAATATTTCTAAATTTTTAAGGTCAGTTCACACGAGGAATTCCGCGGCAGGATCAATCGCAGCGACATGTAGCAACAAAGAAATTGCGAACTTTTCACACAAAGGGCCTTGTTACACGAACAAGTCTTAGCGAAAGCCCGTGCTGCACAATCTAGAATTTATGGGGACATGAGGAAACGAATAAATATGTCCCTGCAAAAGGACTCCTTAAGAAAAGCGACCTTTTTAGGTGTTTGAAAGACAGAAAAATCAAAAGAAATTTTAAGGTGCTAGTTGTTGTAGAACACTAGTCCTGTTCACTCACCTTCTTTTGCCGCAACGTACATTTTGTTCAGCATGGATGCGTAAGCTTTTTGATCCTTATTGTAGTCTTTAACTGTCAGATGTTGTCTTTCTAACATAATTCTGCAATATAATTATGAACGGCAACTTTAACAGGTACAATAACGAGTTATCACTGTAATTGCAACGGTTATGAAAGTTGCAGTATAGGATCAAACAAAGCTGCATAGCTTTCTTGTGACGCTTACCTGAAGTCTCTGCTGAGTCCACTTATGAATCCTACGTAGTATTTTTGCTGTTTTTGAATCTCTCCTTCCGCTACTACTAGTAACTGAAAGAACAAAAAAGGCTCCGTCATAAGTCGATAATTTTCTTTGCATAGATGAAACAAATGTGGCTCTCAGTTTGTTTGATTTCTACTGAGTTAGTATGTAGAATCTGAACTGCGTTACCTGCCTGCTTGACCGGCCCTACCAATCTTTGGGAATTTATGCCCTTATCATCTGTCTTTCTGGGTTTCTGTTCGTCTGCCTGTCTGTCTGTTTGTCTGTCGGTCGGTGGGCTGACCGGTCTTTCTTTCTGTCGGTCTGTCTGTCGGAATATCACTCGGTATGTTGGTCCTTCGGTCCGAAGCTGGCTCGCCTGTAAACCTGTCAGTCCGCCTTGTAGCCAGCCAGTCCTGGCGTCCATCATACATCTGTCTGTCTATCTTTCTCTATCTATCTGTCCAACTGACTCTCTGTCTGTCTGTCTGTCTGTCTGTCTGTCTGTCTGGCTGGCTGGCTGCCTGTCTGTCGGTCGGTCTATCGCTCGGTATGTCGGTCTTCTGTCCGATCGCTTTCCGAATTGCTTGCTCGCTCGTATGCCTGTCCGCCTTGCAGCTCACCAGTTTCTGTCCAGCTATATGTCTCACTGGCTGTCTACATGTATGTCCATCGCTTCGTCCAATCAAGCGTTCGTTTTTCTGTCCATTCGTCTGTCTCTCTGTCTCTCTGTCTGTCCGTCGGTCTCTCTGTCTGTCTGCCTGACTGTGCGTGTACGTGTGCGTGTCTTTCTCTCTGTCTGACTGTCTGACACATTACTGAATTCTCGGGTTACGTACCCTGTCTTTTAGGAATAATTGCTGTTTTGCTTTCTCCATCTCGCTTGAAGAAACATTGGGCACTGAAATGAAAACAGACGTGAAACGAAATAAAGAATTGACACATATAAACAGGAAAAAATGGAGTAGACGGAAATCTATTGGTTATCTAAAGTTGCTAAATTGATCAACATTAGAGCTGGTCTACAACAACATAGTAAGTGTTATATTCCTTATTGTGTCCATAATTCTTGGTTTTGCCTTATGTGTTTATCATGGGTTACGTAACCTCCTTTGGGTATTATTAGCGGGGCGTCGGTATATATATTGCGTTGTCTTCATTTGTATTCATTCGAGTCATACGACCGCCTCTTCGTTCTTGTTTTATACACGGCTCGTGTTGACACACCCCACAAGTGGTTGCTCATTACATGATAAATGTTTTATATTCGGTTGAGCGGGGCAGCGAATTAGAATATAAATCATGATATTTACCACCAGGTCCATGTGTTCTCACCGTCCCATTCTTCAGGTTTTTCTCTAATTTAAGGTATTTAACTTGATCCATTAATTCCTAGGAGAAAACAGAGGGCCATAAATTGATTTTGTATAAAGTGAAATCAAAGGTTAACAACTTTTCTCTTCGCTTTCTAATCGTTTAAGCCAATCAAATAGCAGCTCAGTGCACGTGCAAAATCTTGGCACGTGAAATCTCGACGTCATCGTCCGTCGGCTGACAAACTTGCTCTTGATTGGCTACCGAGCAACGAGAAAGCCAACAAAAAGATGCTAAGCTTGTTTGTTGAAGATTAACCAAAATCTTCCTGTTATTTTGTATAAAATAACGTCTCAGTGTAAAGCAATTTATATAGACACAATGCTTTTTTATTCCATACCATAATTCTTTGATTTAATCTCGATTTTGTATCTTCTAATTGATCTTTGGTCTCTTGAAGTTCCTTTGCAAGTCTCTCCTCGCTAAATACGAAATCAGACAAACACGATATGAGAAATTAAATTAAAAATTTAGTAGCACAGTTACCTTGTTGTAGCACAGTTACCTTGACTGGACGTCTTTTATTAGCTTCGCCTTTTCTCGCTGCCATAAACTGACAGTTCCCTCGCGATGAAGCCTGAAAGGCGTTATGGAAGGTCAGAGAAAACCTACATTAACAAAACAGCCTCATTTTACACATAACCGCACCCAAATTCGCAATTAGCCAATTAGAAGCCGTATCTACTGTCCTGATATCCAGCCATATCAGGTCACTGACCTGATATGGCTACGGTATCATGCTCACTTGGCCGAATTTGGGTTCAGTAAATACCTTATCGTACCTTTTCTGGTACGCTTCAGTGATATATCATGCTCGGTTGGTCTCGCCATGAGTATGTTAGCTTGAATACGTCTCGCCAAAATACGAACCATGTCTCGACCAAACTCGCCTCATATGCCGTCAAAGCGTACCAAAAAGATTCGATTAAGTATGAGAATTGTCTATAAAATTTTTAAGCAAGCAATTAACCGGAACGATGATCCTGCTGGTATAGTACACCTTCAAAAAATCATTCTACGTTGTGTCGGTTTCTGCTTGTGTATTCTTCATAAGAATTGTGCACATGAGCAAAAGCTAGATATTGTGATGAAAGCACAACCGCAACCTGTATTCTTTTAACTTACTGTTGAATTTGTTTTCCTCTATCTTCTAACTGTTCCTCCAACTTTCTACACGTCGCAAGAACTGTATTCTTCTCGGCTACGGCGTATTCATGTCTTGCAAAATAGAGGGAGAAATGTTTTTAACTAAATTGTTGTGTTATTATCCGCGATTACCAAGACCGCATTTTCATTCGAGAAGCTCATGCACAACAGATTTCTGTTGCTTTTCTTTTTCTTCAGAAAATAGCAAAATTTGCGTTTATGAATCAGCTATGAATTGAAACAAACGGAAAATATTTTTTGTTGGGCAGAAACACTACCAGTTGTGGGAGTATTTGTGTTAAGACTTGTATTTTAACAGAAAGTCTCCGCTTTCTTCTGTTCTCACGACAGTGCGAATATTTGTTTCATCACTTCCCAGTGATATTTGACAGTCTATTTCCCTATGAAGGTGGAGCCGAGAGGTAAGGTGAGAGTAAAGTGTCCTTCCCCAAAAAAAAAACAGGAGTCAACCCGGCCAGGGTTGGAGGACTTAGGCCTCTCACGTAGGGGCCAAACCACCCCCCAAATGTTTCATGAAGGTAATATTTGCTTGGTTTATATATTTCTGAACCAAGTTTGGCAGATGAACTTTCTTTGTTCTCCAGTTTGTTTTAATTTGGAAGTTGTGACAAAATGCCAGATTATGACGTCATAATTGATGACGTCACCAAAACTTGCTATAATTTTTTGTAAAATCTGGTGTAAAGATTATTTCATTGGAAAGGCCTTGACTTGAGGAGTAAAATGCTGAAAACCGTTTTTTGCTATGATGATTATTTTTTGAGATATGGTAAATTAAATATTTTTTTTTGTTGTGCCCCCGGAATTTGCTTAACCATACTGTCCTTCTTAATTCAGTCTTTCTGGTTTATTTTTTTCAGTTTTATTCTAGGAAGGCTAATAATCTAGAAAAATAGAAAGTTTGATGTTGTCAAAAATCGTATGGTTTCAGAAATTTGATTTTCGGCTTTGTTAGGATGGTATTAATAGTAAAAAAACGGGTGAGGTCACAGGTTATGACGTAACAAAACTAATTTTAACGCAATAACACTAGAGGGATAATTTTTTATGCCGATTTTCTTCTTTATCTTTGCGTTAGTCATCTGGCACATCACATTGGCAACATAGCTGCNAGTAATGCGAAGTAATGTGAAATACCCAAGAACTGACGAAACATTTGGGGGGTGGTTTGGCCCCTACGTGTCTTGATGCGGAGCTCAAAACACGAAACAATTGACTAATGCGCCTACCAGAGTCTTCTAGAATACTTACGCTACATTCAATCTAGATTTCCCAGAAATTAAAGTTCTTTGTCCACATCACTTACTTTTGTCGTTGATGCATCGACTCAGCTTGTTCACGTTGTAAATCAACTGCAATTGACAGCAATATAAGAGTTAGCTTCTTGACTGACAAAAATTGGGGCTTGTTAGAATACGAGCCGTCCCTCTGTCGCTAAGTCCGTCATGCGTGACGCGAAAGACAACCGGGAGAAAAAATGGCCTCGCGAAGTCCTGGGGGCAAGAAACGCGCTTCTCGCCTCCAGGATTTCGCGCGGCCATTTTTTCTCGCGGTTCATTTATGGTCATGCTCCACGGACTAAGCGAGAGAGGGGTTACTTGTACTCTAGGTGCTTGCAACAAGACTGAGAACCCCTAGCCAAGAGAAATTGATCAAACCACACAGTACACTCACGTTTGAGTTTCATGTTTTCTTTCGTAAGCAATTGTTCAGCTTTAGTTTTTTCCTACAAATGTAAAATATGCAACAGTGAGAGTCTATTATTAACATTTTCAGTTTAAATTATGTTATTTATTATAAATACGACTGGAATAATTACTTCATTGGCTGAGAACAGCCAATTTATCAGTAAATTTTAGTTTCAGCCGTAGTGCAAATTAACGCGCGTACGTTCGTAATTTTCTCAGTCGTAAAACAAATGAATAGTTATACAAAACTTCGAGATATTAAGGATTTACACTACTCGCGAAAAATGACAATTTTTTGAAATGCAGCCGTCGTGGAGGCATGGTTGCCTCATGGTAAGTGCGCTCGTCTCCGAATCGAGCGGTCCGTGTTCGAACCATGGTCGAGGACATTTGTGTTGTGTTCTTGGGTAAAACACTTAACTCTCACAGTGCCTCTCTCCACCCAAGTGTATAAATAAGTACCGGCGAATAAGATCTAAATGCTGGAGGTAACCCTGCGATGGACTAGCATCCCATCCAGGGGGGAGTAGAAATACTCCAAGTCGCTTCATCCTACACAAACCGCGATAAGCTCTGGCCTGATGACCGCATGCAGACTTACCTAGAGCAATTTTAAGAGAATTTTCAAATATCATTCGTGCTGTAATGAAATCCATAACTATACTCGCATTCATACGATTATCTGTACCGTGATCACATAGACTAAGAGTTTTACCTGGATGTATTGAATGATACTGTTCTTTAAGTTTTCCAGATCTTGAGAAACGTGGTTAATATACTGGATGTAAAACGTATCTGGAGATAAGAGAACACGAAGGGGTTAGACAAACGAATCAGATACGGTATCCAACAGAACAGAAAAATGCTCAAATCAAATTTTGCGTTTTTACCGTATTCTTGAGCATCTTTTAAATTTTCTGTGTCCTGAAACAGGTCAACTTTTTGAGGCTCTTTCTGTAAGATGAAGACAAAGAACATCAAATAAACCGAAATTCTTTTGATCATTAAAGTCTGTGGGAAATCAAATGGCCTAAAAAGTCAGTCACTGGATTTCAGGTTTAAATGTTTTGTGTTCTTGATAATGATAATGATAACGATGACGATAACGATGGCGATAACGATGCCGCTGCTGCTGCTGCTGATGATGATGATGACACTTCAGTCATTATTTCGAAGCCTCTCTTTTTAAGCGCCGTGTTTGGTGAATTTCGCGGAGGCAACCGGACATCGTGGTGTCTGTCAGGGAAGGGGGGGGATATGTGATCAGTGGACTAGCATCATACCCCATTACATCCAGTTTTCTCGTTACAGCATCGAAACTTGAGAACGCCTAGCATAAATCATTCTTATTAGGGTAACTTACTTAAGGGAAGTCCCAGCTCTTTACTGATTAACATGCAAGCGTTTCTAGCTCACCTCAAGTTGCTGCTGAAGTGTTTTTAGCTTCTCTATTTCCTGCAACAGTGTAGGACGAAATGTTGATTAGTTCTTTTAAGGAAAGCTGTTGCCATTATTTACGGCATCGTTAAAGTAAGATTAATAATGCGTTGGACGTCTCTCTCAACAACTTTGAGAGCTTGTAATTCACGAGATTTACATTTAACCTTTGGAGTGCTCTGCTCACATTCTGCATGGATTTTAAGTTTTATATAAACAAGGAAAATTCTTGGTTTATACCTGTCATAAAACCACTACACTTTTATGTCTTTCACACCGTTACAATGGTCAACAACTCTTGATCAGATCACGTGATATCTTCTCTCAAGGTGCAAAGAGTTTAAAAGGTATAGCTTGCATTGTAGCGAAACGCGCACTAATTTTGACAATTATATTAACTCTGATTATTCTACTTACATTCGCACCCGTGAGGTAACTGAGATCTTGTTGTAACTCACTTATAATAATTGCCTAATTGATTCGTCGTGGCCAATTATGCCTCGCTGACTTCATGGACTCGTCAATTAGTCATTGAGAATTAAGAGCAAAGCATAAGATTCTTACCAAATCGAGTTTCCTTTTCGCTGATTCGCTGGTGGGGTTGTGATTAAACTCGATCACTTTATCGAACAGATCAAACATCTGAAAGAATCAAACCCAAAGGACAGTAATTAAACTACGTTCAAGTTTGTGTAGACAATGGCAGTGTCCAGAGCTCAGAACGAAGCCTTTCCCACGCGATGTGAAATAAGCCTACCTGACTAATCATTTCGCCACAGTGCGAAAGAAAACCAACAAAGGCTTGCATTTTGGTGGATTCCCGATTACTTTTCGTCCAAAAATATGCAAGGAAGCCAGTTCAAATCAAACTGTTTTATCTGTACTTCTGTTCGTAGACAACAATACCATGGCGACCTCAAAATGTAAATTAAACCACAAACCGTTTTTAATTTGAGGTATTTTGTTCTTTTTTAATTACTTGCAAGAAACCCTGACGAGACTACATAATAGAGCAGTATGCAGTCGTTCAGACAATACAAGACTAATACAGTAATCGTAAAGAAAAAAAATCAAGGAGGACTGAAAATTGTTATGGACTTTCGGTAGCCTTTGTCGACCTTTAATTTCCCGGAAATATACTTCGAATTAGTTGAGACTGAGCTAGAGAATTAGTTGAGACAGCTGGAATGTGGCATTGTCGTTACAATCCTTCAATTTCTAAGCCACGCTTCAAATAGTATTGCAGTGCTTGTCCCAGAGTTGATTTATCACCCAGGGTGTTACAGTTAGGAGCTCAAAGCCCGTTGGTTATTAGAGACACGGGGCACATTCTTTCACTTGTTACTAGGTACTCTGGGAGTCAGAGAGTGTCTGTGGTTCGCTTTCTTGTGGTAGCTTATAACTGCTCATTTTTTTTGACAAAGAAAAAATATCCCCGGGCACTTGGAGTTGTACTTAATGGGTTAAAAACCTATAAGTGCATGACTTTTATTGTTGACGCGAGAATATCGTTGTCTGGCGGTCTTTTCCTGTGTTTCTTGTTATGCCTTATTTGTAACTGAAAGCTAATTTGCATTTTCAGCAAACTCTGTATTGCGTTTAAAACATGGTTATATTTGTTCCCTTACAAAGATACTCAGTACTATCACATTTCATAGACCTTTTGAGATTCTAGACAAACAATTTATGCTAAAGTAGATATATGGTGTATACACTGATGTATAATTAATTTCACCGATGATTTTTCTTCAGTTGCCGGTACAAAACTTTAAAAAGATTTAAAGGTACAAGCTGAAAAAAACAGCCACAATTTATTTTAATGTGTCCAAAGAATTAACAGTGATGCTTTGGTCACAATTTATTTCATTGAGTATCAAACAAAATAGTATAAATATGCAATGTAACGGAGGAGAGGACGGATCTAAGATATCTAATTGGTTGATAATCTTTCAAGTAACCCGTTTAGTTTTATTGCCTGGCAATTAAACCAATAAAAAGAACAAATGCCTACATAGAGAACCCAACTAAAGACTTTAATTAACTAGACTTTACTGGCTTAACAGAAAAATAGTGCATTTTCTGTATTTATTTGTAATATTTCAATGGATTCTGACCACGGAAGAGTAGTCTAAGTTGTAGCTGTCAGGCAAAACTATTGACTTTTATAAAGATCTTTACCTGCGGTCTGGTTGGCTTATTAAATCTTTCGTTGCATGCTAAAACAGCGAAAATAATAGGGTTTGGAGAAAACGTCCCTAACTAATTTCCAGTAGATTTTTCACTTTTTGAGGGGTTAAAAGGAGTTTCGTTCTCTATTTATCCACCAAGTAATCGGTGTAAAATTTTTGTAGTCAACTGTGTGATGTCTTTACGTGACTTGGTCGAAAAAAGAGCTTCCAACCAAATTTATACGCGAGAGGGCATTTCGGTTTTTTAACTTTATTAGTTACGAGGTACATAGCTGCCTTGAAGCAAGAAAAAAAATTATCCCTCATTATATAGCAATATTGAGAAGCAAACGAGCCTTTGATCACACCTAACGAGGGATTATGTACACTTAGGTACACGAAGCAATAAATGGGACTTGGCCGCACGGATCCGTACGTGACAGGAATGTCTAATAAACGCACATAATTTTCTCAGTCTCTTATGAGTGTGACAACGAACAAACAGTGCATAAGTGTTTTAAAAACACTATGACGCTGCATATATCTGCCAGGGAAAGTCAATGCAATATAATAAAACTGTGTAAAAACGCTTAATTAAACGGCCAAATTTTTAGATCATCAGTTTCTCTCTAAAGTGACAAAACGAATCACAATTTAATTCTAAACTTATGGTAATATCTAAACAAACATAATTTAAGTTTTAACATATGCCAGTTGTTAATTCGAACATGTCTTCAGTTGTGAAGTTGAACAACTAAATATTACTTGCAAAGCAAGGCACAAATTTCTTTATTTAGTCGAAATAGGAAATAAAATTAATTACGTTCAGTTTGTTTGCCATACGAAGGTTCGCCCTGAAATATATTCTGTGTGAAAGTTCAATGTCACTTCCTCGATGCAAAGATGCAATAAAAATATTCTCGATCGATGGTGTCAAAAATCTTTAGAAATTATAAGAAAGATGACCATCTCTTTAAAGTGTTCCTTTTGCCAATTTGCCCCCAAGCACGATTTGGTAAAATCGTTATGGTCAAATGATCTTGGTTACTAGGCAATAAATGAACATTACTAGTGAAATTGTACCCATTAAAATAATATTCCGTGTGCTCAAAAAACAGCTGTCAAAATTTATGTATGCCCAGTGAATAAAACGCAAAGATAAGAAAGATTCTTGATAATTTACTTCGCTTTCGAACGTTAATTGTAGAATCAGTAATGGTTTTTGCGACCTCAATAAATGCTTTGTTCTTCGGCCTTAGTTGTGCATGTTTCGGAGCAAAGTCTGCGGTAATATCATGCCTAATTTTGGTTTTGGTAAAGATATTATTTTAAGTATTGATCAATTGCCATGATGCTCTCGTATACATTCGAGTCTGAAGTTAGGTTTGAAAAACTTGCGTTCGATAATCCAACTTCCTCAATAGTTTGGCTAATTATCTTTAGTTTACTACCATCAAAGATGTCTCACATAATCATATGAGCTTCGTTTGTTTTGGCTGATCTCAGGAAAAGCTCTCTAATAGAAGATAACGAGAGAGTAAACTTTCCGCTTACGGCTGAATAGTTTCATCGACGAATTGAATTATTCAGAGCATTAAAGCAATTTGCCGAATAATACAGGCGAGGATAGTTTCATGTGAAACGCGAAACAGTGCAGTCGAACTAAAAGAGGTTCATAGAGATTACCTTCGCAACTCGTATTTTCATTTCTTTGGTCCTCTTCTTCATTTCAACGGATGAGCCATCCTCCTGTGAGATATCATCATAAACTGGCATTATGTTTTGCGGTTTATTCGACGAAAAAGAACATTCGATGAAGAGACACCGTTGTCCGCGTAACTGAGTGGATTCAACAATTGGTTGAATTGTTTACGAAGCGAGTGTTGATAACTCGGTCCAATATTATCTCACCTTCCCAGTGTTTCCACTGCGCATAGTTGTTGTCATTATAAGTGTGCGTCTGCAGGTTTACATATGTGTCATCCTTGCGGCCTTAAAACCGAAAGGTCCCAAACTGTCTCGTGTGGTGAACGGTAAACTAATCCCTTCACGCTTTCGCTGCGAAGGACAATGTTGCCATGGATGAATTACTTCATTTCAGCGAACAGAAGCCGAGTAAACTACGACCGAAATTTGGATTTCTGATTAGAAATTTTCCCTCTTCCTATGTAAACACAAAGCAATTTCCTCTTAGCTACCGCATCTGCTTATTAACTCGGTTGAATATTAAAAAGGCTCGGGGGAATAGGTCAATATTCGCCTGCCCAAAGCACTTCTGTGGGACGTCAAAACATGTTTAAAATTCATTTACTTCGCTTTCGCACTAAAAATCTTTTGTATAACAAACAAAGCACTTCAAAGCTAACTAATGAGTTTTTATTACCTAAATGAATTGTGGTCAAGCTTTTCGCTGTTTTATCGACCATGAAAATTAGAAATACACAATGACGATAAAAATTAAATACATTTTATCTCAACTTCGCATTTGACATTATAAAGTCGTTCCAGTGATACGGATCAATCCGCAAAAGTCATTATTTAGAAAACAAAGGGCGCAATTGTTTTCAGTCTAAACGTAACCATCAGCAAGACTGCTCGATTCAATGTTGAACATAATATCTGCAATAAACCTATTCGACAAATCTTCAGAAGTTTACGGTGAGCAAAAAGGAGACTAAGCGAGTTGAGAGAACCATTTCTGAGGAAGTCTTTCGAGCCACCTGCTATAGAAATTACACATGCGCCTTCGTATTAAAGATTGCTTTCTTTATCTTTACCTCCTTTGAAAGACCGACAAGGCTGGCCTCGACCGGCCGGTCTAATATAATTCGCATTAAGCTCATATCGGTCTATATCCGTTTATATCCTGTCTTCAAGAAATTTAACGCGGAATCTTGTAAAACCTAGATTGCTAAAAATGTTTCAAAACGATAATTAATTAAATTGGTTTTATTTATTTCTTTTCCAATTCCCCCTTCCACAATTCCATAATTGTGTGTTGNTGTATACACTGATGTATAATTAATTTCACCGATGATTTTTCTTCAGTTGCCGGTACAAAACTTTAAAAAGATTTAAAGGTACAAGCTGAAAAAAACAGCCACAATTTATTTTAATGTGTCCAAAGAATTAACAGTGATGCTTTGGTCACAATTTATTTCATTGAGTATCAAACAAAATAGTATAAATATGCAATGTAACGGAGGAGAGGACGGATCTAAGATATCTAATTGGTTGATAATCTTTCAAGTAACCCGTTTAGTTTTATTGCCTGGCAATTAAACCAATAAAAAGAACAAATGCCTACATAGAGAACCCAACTAAAGACTTTAATTAACTAGACTTTACTGGCTTAACAGAAAAATAGTGCATTTTCTGTATTTATTTGTAATATTTCAATGGATTCTGACCACGGAAGAGTAGTCTAAGTTGTAGCTGTCAGGCAAAACTATTGACTTTTATAAAGATCTTTACCTGCGGTCTGGTTGGCTTATTAAATCTTTCGTTGCATGCTAAAACAGCGAAAATAATAGGGTTTGGAGAAAACGTCCCTAACTAATTTCCAGTAGATTTTTCACTTTTTGAGGGGTTAAAAGGAGTTTCGTTCTCTATTTATCCACAAAGTAATCGGTGTAAAATTTTTGTAGTCAACTGTGTGATGTCTTTACGTGACTTGGTCGAAAAAAGAGCTTCCAACCAAATTTATACGCGAGAGGGCATTTCGGTTTTTTAACTTTATTAGTTACGAGGTACATAGCTGCCTTGAAGCAAGAAAAAAAATTATCCCTCATTATATAGCAATATTGAGAAGCAAACGAGCCTTTGATCACACCTAACGAGGGATTATGTACACTTAGGTACACGAAGCAATAAATGGGACTTGGCCGCACGGATCCGTACGTGACAGGAATGTCTAATAAACGCACATAATTTTCTCAGTCTCTTATGAGTGTGACAACGAACAAACAGTGCATAAGTGTTTTAAAAACACTATGACGCTGCATATATCTGCCAGGGAAAGTCAATGCAATATAATAAAACTGTGTAAAAACGCTTAATTAAACGGCCAAATTTTTAGATCATCAGTTTCTCTCTAAAGTGACAAAACGAATCACGATTTAATTCTAAACTTATGGTAATATCTAAACAAACATAATTTAAGTTTTAACATATGCCAGTTGTTAATTCGAACATGTCTTCAGTTGTGAAGTTGAACAACTAAATATTACTTGCAAAGCAAGGCACAAATTTCTTTATTTAGTCGAAATAGGAAATAAAATTAATTACGTTCAGTTTGTTTGCCATACGAAGGTTCGCCCTGAAATATATTCTGTGTGAAAGTTCAATGTCACTTCCTCGATGCAAAGATGCAATAAAAATATTCTCGATCGATGGTGTCAAAAATCTTTAGAAATTATAAGAAAGATGACCATCTCTTTAAAGTGTTCCTTTTGCCAATTTGCCCCCAAGCACGATTTGGTAAAATCGTTATGGTCAAATGATCTTGGTTACTAGGCAATAAATGAACATTACTAGTGAAATTGTACCCATTAAAATAATATTCCGTGTGCTCAAAAAACAGCTGTCAAAATTTATGTATGCCCAGTGAATAAAACGCAAAGATAAGAAAGATTCTTGATAATTTACTTCGCTTTCGAACGTTAATTGTAGAATCAGTAATGGTTTTTGCGACCTCAATAAATGCTTTGTTCTTCGGCCTTAGTTGTGCATGTTTCGGAGCAAAGTCTGCGGTAATATCATGCCTAATTTTGGTTTTGGTAAAGATATTATTTTAAGTATTGATCAATTGCCATGATGCTCTCGTATACATTCGAGTCTGAAGTTAGGTTTGAAAAACTTGCGTTCGATAATCCAACTTCCTCAATAGTTTGGCTAATTATCTTTAGTTTACTACCATCAAAGATGTCTCACATAATCATATGAGCTTCGTTTGTTTTGGCTGATCTCAGGAAAAGCTCTCTAATAGAAGATAACGAGAGAGTAAACTTTCCGCTTACGGCTGAATAGTTTCATCGACGAATTGAATTATTCAGAGCATTAAAGCAATTTGCCGAATAATACAGGCGAGGATAGTTTCATGTGAAACGCGAAACAGTGCAGTCGAACTAAAAGAGGTTCATAGAGATTACCTTCGCAACTCGTATTTTCATTTCTTTGGTCCTCTTCTTCATTTCAACGGATGAGCCATCCTCCTGTGAGATATCATCATAAACTGGCATTATGTTTTGCGGTTTATTCGACGAAAAAGAACATTCGATGAAGAGACACCGTTGTCCGCGTAACTGAGTGGATTCAACAATTGGTTGAATTGTTTACGAAGCGAGTGTTGATAACTCGGTCCAATATTATCTCACCTTCCCAGTGTTTCCACTGCGCATAGTTGTTGTCATTATAAGTGTGCGTCTGCAGGTTTACATATGTGTCATCCTTGCGGCCTTAAAACCGAAAGGTCCCAAACTGTCTCGTGTGGTGAACGGTAAACTAATCCCTTCACGCTTTCGCTGCGAAGGACAATGTTGCCATGGATGAATTACTTCATTTCAGCGAACAGAAGCCGAGTAAACTACGACCGAAATTTGGATTTCTGATTAGAAATTTTCCCTCTTCCTATGTAAACACAAAGCAATTTCCTCTTAGCTACCGCATCTGCTTATTAACTCGGTTGAATATTAAAAAGGCTCGGGGGAATAGGTCAATATTCGCCTGCCCAAAGCACTTCTGTGGGACGTCAAAACATGTTTAAAATTCATTTACTTCGCTTTCGCACTAAAAATCTTTTGTATAACAAACAAAGCACTTCAAAGCTAACTAATGAGTTTTTATTACCTAAATGAATTGTGGTCAAGCTTTTCGCTGTTTTATCGACCATGAAAATTAGAAATACACAATGACGATAAAAATTAAATACATTTTATCTCAACTTCGCATTTGACATTATAAAGTCGTTCCAGTGATACGGATCAATCCGCAAAAGTCATTATTTAGAAAACAAAGGGCGCAATTGTTTTCAGTCTAAACGTAACCATCAGCAAGACTGCTCGATTCAATGTTGAACATAATATCTGCAATAAACCTATTCGACAAATCTTCAGAAGTTTACGGTGAGCAAAAAGGAGACTAAGCGAGTTGAGAGAACCATTTCTGAGGAAGTCTTTCGAGCCACCTGCTATAGAAATTACACATGCGCCTTCGTATTAAAGATTGCTTTCTTTATCTTTACCTCCTTTGAAAGACCGACAAGGCTGGCCTCGACCGGCCGGTCTAATATAATTCGCATTAAGCTCATATCGGTCTATATCCGTTTATATCCTGTCTTCAAGAAATTTAACGCGGAATCTTGTAAAACCTAGATTGCTAAAAATGTTTCAAAACGATAATTAATTAA